GTAGTGTTGCAAACTTTTATTAGTCCATATCACATACATGATCTTTATTTCAATGTCTCAAACTGATATGCAATATGATATTGATTTTGGTGAGGTTCAAGCTAATGATGAAGGCTTGAATGTGCTTGCAATAGTTGGGGAGAGAATTTGAGGGGAGAGTGTTGTAGACAATATCCATTTGTAGGTAGTATATATAAAATTTTAATTTTATTATTATTTTCTTATTCCAATAGTTATTTACTAATGCATTACTCTACTCATAAATAATGAGTCAGTAATGTTGATCAAGTTGAGTTGCATGCTAAGTTTATATCCCCAATAATGAAATACTGATGTTTTATTGTATTCTAATCTTATCGGATTTGATGTTCTTGATCCTGTTTAGCTTGATTGTAATTTGGTGCTTAGCTGTGTTTGTATGAATTATTCTGACTTTGTTATAATATCTTTTGTCTATATTTTATTTGAATTTAATTGCCTTAAATTTTGAATTAGTTAACCAAAGAGTTGTCAGGATTTAATATTTTTCTTGTCAAATGGTTTTTATGATTTAACACCTAGGATTTGGTAAATCCGTACTTATCGAATTTACCTAGTTCTACTTGAGTGAAACGCTACTTGCTGCCAAATAGCCTCTTAGTCTCCCATGTTATTTCTCATTTTGAATGTCGTTCTTCCGGAGCACCTTGGTAAATAGAATAGATTGAAAACGAAATTGTAAGCTTGATGTTCAAAAATGCACTCCAGTACTTCGTCATAATTCATTAAGGAAAGTTGTATGTCAAAAGTGTGAGAATTGTCATACATAGTTTTATAAAGAAGTGAGACAACATACATTCCCATAAGTTTGGGAGGAATAATTGTTATGAAATTCTAACTATTGTCTTAATCATGTATAAGGAGTTAAGGACCATTGAAATAAGGTTAAAAGCTTTATAATCTTGCTGAATTTTGTAACTCCATATTCAGATGAACCTTCATGAAAGGGATGATCCTCAACTTCAAGCTTAATCTCTCTATGCTTATGTTCAAAGCATTTCGTTTATTGTGCTTGAATTATATGTGGATGTTCTCAAATTAAATTAATCTTTTTAGTTGCCTCATCCACCTGTTTAGGTCTTTCTAATTTCCTCTCACCAACCTTGATCCAACACTCCAATAGGTTTGTAATGTTCAACCTTAACTCTTTGATAAGTCAAACACTTTGGAACTAAGTCCATCTTCTTCATTCTAGGTCACTAGAAAAGCTTGATGAGATCTTGATATATTTTATTACTCCATGGGTAAACATGAGTTGTGTTGTTTTATTCATGTAATTTTTCTGGTTTAAGTCTTGTCTGGTATAGAACATATAACCAATCTCCAAATTACAAACATATAACCAATCTCCAAATTACAATGCAGTTGAATGATCATGAATAAATTAATGCTTCAATTCCCTTATTATGAGCTTGATCTCTAAGGTGCATTGGTTCGATATTTTCCATCTAAGTTTTAAGAACTTAAACTAAATTTTATGCTGAATTGTCATATGATTGATTTATTTCCAAGAGGTATACACTCAAGTTCAAGTTACTCAATCTTAAGCACCATTTTTCTTTCTTGAGTGGTCATCCAAGTTACATTTGTTGAAGATTTCATGTTCAATATATATTCAACTCTTTTAGCCTTAATTTGGGAGAGGATGGAAGGAGTGAGAGAAAGCAAGAGGTAGGGAGTGTAAGAGAGGGATTGTGGGGGCAAAGTTGGTGAGAATGAGAGCGATGGGGAGGCTTTATTTTATTTTGTTTTTAATATGAAACGAGGGTCGAATAGGTGAGACGCGAGTGAGCGAGTGGGGAGTGGAATTGGGAAGACATTTGTTTTTGGATTTGAGCAGAGTGATTTTTTTTACTTTTTATATTTTAATTTAAGTAGTATGTATGTATGTGTGTGTGTTTATATTATAATGTTCTTTAATTAGTATATGTACAATTTTATTTTAATACATATAAAAAATATTTTCTTTTTAATTAGAAAATAACGATAAAGTTTTTATTAAATGCAGAACACCTATGTTCTTTGAATCTTGTTTGTGGACATCGTCGCTCATGCATTTGGAACATTCGTTTTCCTCCTGTGCATAAATTAAATTTATTTTTTTCGAATTGCTCTCATGCGGTGATCCAAAATGTGGGTGTCCATTCTAGCTGATTTGATAAACGAATGACAATCAAATGATTTCAATTTTGGTAGTGGTGTTTTGAAGTGATCTTATTTGATGTTGCATTCGTTGTCCTTCATTTTCATTATACTAGATTAAATCAGCCTTGGAATAGCTATCAAGGTCAACAGTATTATGCAATGAATTTTTTGTGAGGAATAAATAATAATTATGAGATGATTGCGATGAGATTGATGATGGCAAGGAAGTTGATTGTGGTTTTACTTACCTTCTTAATTAAAGTAAAAACAAGAGAGAGAGAGAGAAGATGAGAATACTAGAGGATCTTCAACCATTTGGTAGTTGCAAACCAAACAAGGGCTTGTAATGGTTATGACAATGGTGTTGTTGAGGGTTTGTAGTGAATCAAAGGATATTTTAGAGAGAGTAGAGGACAAAATATGTGAAGGCCAACCGCTCACAATGATAGCTTAAGATGGAGGATTGCAAGCAACTCGTGATGTTTTTAGGTGAGATATTGTGGGGTTGAAAGGAAGGACAAAGGCGTGTAATTAGTAAGGAATTTTACCTCTTGGACAGCTATGACTAGCAATGATGTAGATTAGAAGTCAAAATTTGCTATAAAATTCAAACTCTTGTCCCTTATTACATCATACGGATGGAACTTGCTTGCAAAGGAGGTTATGTAATCAGTTCTAGTCATGATTGGGTCGGACATTCTTCGATTGCATTATTATTTAGCTTTCTTTTTGAAGCTTTTTTACCATCTTCTGTCACAGATTATATGCGTTAGTGCATATAGCATGAAACAGTGCACGTAACACACTATTATTTTTAATGTGCTTTCCTGCTCCAATATTGCAAGTGGCATGCCTCGCTTTATTTTGATTTATAGCATGGTTTAAAAAGGCGTTTGAGGCGTACGCCTCTAGGCGCAACATGGATTCCTTGAGGCTTAAGTCTTACTGGTTTGGGCGAGGCTTACTCTTTTTTCATTGAGGTGTAACACCTCGAGACAGTTTGAGGTGCCTCCTCGTTTCATTTGTTGTTGTTATTTTTTTTTTAATTCGTCCGAGTCGCACGTATTAGATTTAGGGCTGCCTCGTTTTAGATTTAGGGCTGCTTGGATAGTCGTTCAAGAAGTTCTTCGCCTCTTTTGACAGCTCTTAGCGAAGGTAACAATCTCTTGTTTAATGTAAACGGCTTCGGCTTTGCCTGGTTCAACTTCACTTCTTTGTGTTAGGTTGAGTTCTTTGTAGCGAAGGTAATGATTTTTCTTCCCTTTTGACCCTATGTCGGATTTGACTACTTTGTGAGAAGTAGAGTTTTGAAAGTTTCATTCCAATTGGAGCTCGCAGTGAACATAATGATCTTTCAACCTTTTGAGTGTTGCTTTGACTTTGCTTACGTCGTGTGAACTATGAAGGTAAAGGAGCTTTCATCCCTTTCAACCTATTTCACATTCTTTGTGTGAAGTTGAGTTTTGATTGTCTTGAACTATCTGATCAGGAGTACAAATATTATTTCAAAGTTTGATTTTAATCCGATTTATGCATTTCTCAATAGCACCTGTATTTGCCTAACAAAATACTGTAACACAGCTTCTTCACATTATAAAAGTATCAGGAAAAATGGTATAATAAATTGTTTTTCCTATTAATTAGATATCATAAGTTATACCTCTATTTTTTCAAAACTATGTGGAATAAAAAACTCTAAGCACTTCTTTGTAAATAATTGATGTTTTAAATTGCATCAAAAGTACTATTCTTGAAACTGGTTCTCCCATTTTTAAGGTGTTACATTAAACTATTATGTGTTTTAAACCTTCTTTAGCATGCGAACTTTGAGATCTTTTGGAAAACAGTGACTATTTATTTTGAATATTGTGTTTCAGTAACATTTATTTTTAAACAAGTTATTATGTTCATAGATTACTTAATATTTTTTCATTTTTATGAGTTATTTATAATTTTTTTAGCACTTTATTTTCCTATCTTGGAGGGGCTTATGCCTCACGTCGTTTCTACAAATTGCCTCAATTTCGTCTTTTAAACCTTGATTTATAGGCTATCCTGCATTATTGACAATAATTTCTCTGTATGTTAATATGATGTTGCTAATACTTGATATCTCTTGATTTTGAATAATTAGAATGGGGACTGACACTTACTGAGAGTCTGAAACCGAACAAACCCAACATTAATAAAACTCTTGGCCTAAAGTTTTCTTGTAAGTAAATTTGGATCACATCTTCTGGCAAGATTTACAAACCTTGAGTCTATTTTACAGCAAATGGCTTGATAGGTTAACATAAATTGCATTTTTTTATGCATTTACATGCTTTCTGCTGCTTCCCTAATTATCTTGACATCATGTATGATTTGCTAATTAGTGATGTATGCAAAGGGGGGGGGGTCAACTCAAGTTGAGTTTTTTTTGCCTAGTGTATTTTCATATTTCCCCTCTCCTTTGGGTGTTTGCTGATTTCATGATGACATGGGCTGTTTCGGATTGAGCTTAAGTAGTTAAATCTTTAGTTATTGCATCAATTAGTAACTGATATTTGAAATGAAAAATATTTCATCCTTAATTAACCTTATTTGCATTCAGATTTCTTCAAATATATAGTGCTAAATAAATTCTTCTGTTAAAAAATCATGTTCGAAGTTTATGTTAGCTTGTGCTATTTTTATTTTCTCTGTTGGTTCGTTGTGATAAATTTGTATGCTTCATAATTCTGGTGCTGCGTTTGTTTAAATTCAGTTGAGTTGATTTATTACAAGTATTTACTTTCTCTTTTGAGCTGCTAGGATATTTAAAGTTTGTCTTACAGGCTTTACAGGTAAAGAAAGATCCTTTCTGCAAAATGTCAAAGCTGCCAGATGAGTGCCCTGTTGAACTGGACAATGACCATTTAAGTGCTGTTAACTGCCTTAGAGAGTTTTGGCACAAATCCTTGAACGCTATGTTCATTGATGTTGAGGTATGGTGTGTTCAATTATCAAATAAAACTTGACGTTTCTTCTTTCTTGAAGTCACAAACTGAAGATGGATGTTCTGTTTCAAGTTTTTCTTATTTTCATTTTTGCACCATGGATATGGGCATAAATCTTCTTAGCTTTATAAATTTAAAATTCTTAATAAAAAGGTTTTATCTGTAGTATACTTTTAGCATAAAGGTTTACCGTTGTAATTTTTGTAGATGTTCTTATGATGCATATACCTTGGCGTTGTTTGATAACTGGTTTTTGGACATGTTAGATCGGCTGGATGAATTGGAGTTGCATTTCCATTCTTTGAATTGAATCTCACTTAGGAATGTAGATTCAGTCCAGCTAATTTGTCCGAAATGCCTTAAGGATTGCAACAATATCCCAGTCAATCACTGGACCAGATTTGAGGGTTACTTCCTACTTGGTATTTCTAAAATATATTTTCCCATGCCATCAATTTTACACAAAAAAAAAGTTCTTGTTAGTTTCCTTAGTGTGTACGTTAATAGATTCCAAAGTGGTTTAGCAAAACATTTGAACATTTTTTGACATAATTATAGCTTCATTTATTGGTTATTATGCTATATTAAGTCATGGCTTATGCTTCATTTGGTTCAGATTTTTACATGCTTTTGTCGTATGGTAACCTGCTAAAGGACAGGGCATTGTTTGGGTAACTATTTCCTTTGTGTAAGAAAAAGCAACTTTTGGGACAACAAGAACAAACATTTGGCACATAAAATAGCTTTAATAGAGTTTTGAATGAACAAGTAGTGAGGGAATAAGAAAAAAAATTGGAGCGATGTCTTACAGATTGGAGAAATCAATTCTTCTTACTATTTCTTCTCGTATAGCTGACCACCTTTTATTATTGTTTATGTAAGAAGGAAATCATAAAAAAGTAAAGACATTACTCATAATCAAATACTAAAAAAAAAGAAATAATCGTTTTTAATGTACATTTGTTATTTTGTGATGCTTAATAAATTATTTATATACTAGATTGTAGTTTCACAGGTGTGAATTTAACATGGAAACGAAGATCCCTTGGATTTCCATGTTGGATTGCCATTATTAATCCTTGTATTATCGCTTATTTCTTGGAGAATATAGATTTTTCATTCTAAACTTGCAAGTAATTTCATTTGATCATGACATATGCAAATTGGTTATTTTAACGAATGTATGGAATACTAATTAAATCATTGTTTAATTTTCCTTTATGAAGTCTAATTCTCATTATTTTTTTGTATCGGTACATTGGACAGGGTTGCGAGCAATATATTTTAGATTTTTTTTTTTCGTCAAAATACTGTATTATAAAATATAATTACTTTATTTTGAGAACTTCCAAGTATAATTTTAAGCTATTGGATTACATAGATGCAGTCAGCTATTGCTTTTAAATTAGCTTCAGCACTTGTATCTTGCCACCACCATGTTCTTCTTGCTTCTCCTTGTAACATGATTATAAGTAATCTCATCTACATCCCACTGACCTTTTTCTTTTGGTAAGGCGTTGTTTTCCTTAATATCTGTTCCATTATCAGTCTTTTTCAACTGCGATGATAATGATGGAAGTTGTATGCTTCATCGCAGAAGGTAGATCAAAGTTTTCCTTTGGTATCTCAAGAATACTCAACCGTCATCCATATCACAAAACGAACAATACCAATGCATTTGAAATGTCAAAATTACAAGTTATTGACCCCCATTTACCCAGATATCCACATGAGCAAAGCTAAAAACAATTGTGTTAGTTGGGATAAAATTTAACATGTGCAAGAACGATTATTTTGTTGGAGAAAGAGAGATGTCACTTTTTTTGAGCAGACCTATATAATTTTTCGTCAACATTATGTGACTTTGATGTCATTAGAAAGCAAATGGAGTTTTCTTAAAATTTGTGTTTTCAACTTTGGTTGCTTCCGACACAGAAAGTATTTTTGCATAATGTCAGGGAAAAAAATTTCAAATCGAGAAATTCCAACATCTTACTGTTTCTATCATAGCTCATTAATTTCAGGCATGATTCATAGGATTTTGGTTTTTTCAGGAAGCTAATTTGATCATCCGCATGTTTCATATTCATAACTTCGATCAGTATCAACCCTATGAAATTCAATTTTATTATAAGCTATTACTAAAAAACTCAGTTTAATTAAATCAATGAGGGAACATTATATATATATATATATATATATATATATAATGAGTACTCACTTATTTCTTCTCTAATTAAATTACTAAATTACTTAACATTATTTCTACAAACTTCTACACTGTGCTGCACATGCACTTCATCACATTTGCTACTCTCACATTTCTTCAAATGATATCATTCCTAAATCTATCCTTTCTTGTTTTATCACATATCTATGTTAATATTCTCATTTTTGTAGCGCTAAATTTGGCTATCAATGATTATTTTATTGTCCAACACGTGAAGCCATAGAATATCAGAGCTAATTGTAGCTTTACAAATTTAACCTTTAAATCTCTATGATGTTATTTTTATCTCGTTAAATTTAGAGGTACATTTTCATTTTAACCATTCAACCTTTAATTTGAGAAGTTATAATTTTTTTCTAAACCTCATACTTTTGTAGAAGTAAATCCAACATACTAAACTCAATCAAACCTAGTATTAAATTTTTTTCTAATAATATTACATCACTAAAATTGTTTAGTATTTGCTTACTCATTTGTTCGACTAATTCTAAGCTCTCTTATCTTCTAATCATTTTTTCTAATGTGTGAAATTTTTACTTATTTCAATGATTATTTTGTCATCTAAAAAAAGTTTGCTCGAAGGCACCTTACCTCATTTTCAGTTTCCCTTATAAGCATATCCATAGCCAATGCAAAAGTATGTGGACTTAATTATGATCCTTGACGTAATCTTGTAGTAATTAGAATTCTTTAGTCACTCTCTAACTACTAATATTAGGCGATACTTTATCATACTTTTAATAACTTTAAAACATATGTAATTCATCTTTTTTTCTTAATTCACACTAACTCAATTCTTATTGTTCTCGATCATTACAACTTCCATGATCAACAATAAAACTATACAAAGTCACTTTCTTTTCTTTTTTTATTTTCATTCATTTTTTTGCACAAAATTGCTTTTGATCTCAATGGCTTTTAGTACAAAATTGCTTTTGATATTAATGGCTTGAAATCAAATTAAAATATTATCATAATATTTTTTATACTTTCGAATTTTTTTTTCTTCTATTTTTTGTCTATGTTCCATTACTTTCTCTCACAGTTTTTTTTTTTTAATTTCTCTTAAATTAGATTGAGCAATGTTAAACATCAATTTTTTTTTTAAATATTAGAAACAAAATGCCTAGTCTCTATTCATTTGACATCTTCTTAGTCTTTGGAATTCCATAGAATTTTTTGTTTAGCCATATCACTATAATTTGATCCGTAACTCTTCAATTCTTAGTAAGTATCTCATCTGAAGCTAAAGATTTATTTTTATGCGTTGACTTGGGAGCTAACTATTTTTTTTGGGACCAATAGATTATATTCCTCATTATGTTTTCATTAGAGATAAGTTAAGTGTGGCGGAGATGAGGATGCTCAGGTGGATGAGTGGCTTTACCCTTAGAGATAAGATACGAAATGAGCATATACGTGAAACGGTTGGGGTAGCTCCAGTAGAAGATAAGATTAGAGAGAGTCGCCTTAGATGGTTTGGTCACATAAAATGGTGGCCTTCCGATGACCCGGTTAGGAGAGTAGAGGTATTAGATTTGACTTATGTTAAGAAAGGTAGGGGTAGATCTAAAAAACTTGGTTAGAAAATATTAGGAATGACCTTTCTTTATTAGATTTAAACGAGAGTTTGACTTTTATTAGGACACAATGGAGAAAAAGGATTCATGTAGCCGACCCCACATAGTGGGATAAAGGCTTGATGTTGTTGTTGTTGTTGTTGTATGTTTTCATTATGATCTTGTTAAATGATTTTTAACTTAAAGCTGTCATTTAATAGTTATCAATTTTTTTTTTCCTTTTTTTCAATGATATTTTTTATATCTATTTTTTATCGTTTCTTAGTATCTAACTTATAATATGAATCATTACAAACCGTTGCTTTTGATTTGTTCATTTCTATTGAATCCTTTTAGCTTCTATATGGTAAACCTAAGTAGTATTTGTGTTGGTATCTTATCTCCTCTGTAATGCATAATCTATTTCTAGACTGTTTTAATACTTCTACAATAAACTTGGTAAAACTTGCCATCTTTTTCCACTCAGTTTTTACTTATCTAAAGTATTAAAATTTGTCTTAGCAAATTACTTTTAGCAAAACAATTTCATTAGTTAAAAGCTTCACCATCAAATAAACGAGCAATTATTTCCTTTGATCCTTCTCCCTGCACTCTCACTTTATACATCTATGACTGCCATTCGATGTTGTGCAATTAAACTTTTTCTTGGAACTAAATTATAGTATATGCTATTTTTTCGCATTTATATCAAAAGGAAGTTCCATTATGATTTGATGGCTCTATTTTTGCAAGTAATTAACTGGTCTTCTCATTTGTTGAAGTACTCAATGCTTGCACAAGACAATATGCTTATTCAAATCAAGTATAATTTCTTTTATTGCATTTGTATCTCCTATTTATAGCCTTAATGAATTTTCTTATAGCCTATGCTATTAGAACCTCTTTGTCTGTTTGATTCTCACTATAATTATTTCATATTCCTTAGGTTTAAGTTATTATTGAATTTTCCTGACTAAAAGTGACTTCAAACAATTTTATAATCTAAATTGAGTTGTTTAAGTTTTAATAATGCTTTTAATGTCATCACATATGATTGAATTTATAGCAATAACCCTAAGATGCATAGACACGGACACGGGACAACAATTATTGAAAATATAGGACACTGACATGGGTTGGATAGGACATTATAATTTTTATATATTAAAAATAGTGTATAAAAATCAAGGTTTAAAATT